GTCAGTTGCATTAAAGCAAAGTGATACATTTGCTGAAACAGATGGTCGTTTTCGATACTGATCACTTACACTTTAGCTTTGCTCTTATATGTAATCCAACAATCCTCGAACAAGTGGTGAGGCCTTAAATTATTACGTGGCTTTCCTGCAGAATATTTAAAAACTTCGTTGGTCAAACGATTTCCAAGGTCAAGGCAGCTGCCTTACTCCATTCATAGGTTGAATATAAAAGCCATGCTACTATGGACAATTGGTATTTGGTGGCTTTAAAACACGAAATGTTGGATCAATTTAAACTGGTGGTGAAGAAATGTTGCAGCAAATATTTGTCGTGTCGACTGAATAAAAAACACCGGTATTCTTTTCAGCAATGTGGGAGCGTTGCTCGGGAAAGCGGGGCCTGTTACTTGTATGATACCTTTACTTATGAAATGGTACAGGATTACATTTTTGCATGTGCTATTCTAGTGCATCGTCGTAGATTATGTAAAAAGCTGGAGGCGCACCTATCTGGATACACATAGCTCATCTTGACTTAGAGTGTATTCTTGGCTCCAGCGCATACACGGATCTGTCTCACCGATAAAGAACAGTAAACTTACAAGAATACCTGACACTTGACAATCACATCAATTTAAGCGACCCACTGTCGTCGCAATGCTAAAGGTATTTCATCACGGCCTATTACGCTGCAAATGTCGTTATGCAATTACTGCAAGTCATCTAGTCACCTTCTGATCTCTCAAATTATGTTGGATAACCTGACCATATTCAGTCCATGAAAGGAAATTTGACAAGACACTAGAGGCGGATGGCACATAGCTGGCGGCATCCAATTCCGGAATTGGCTGTTAGTGTTTGCTTCCACAGGACAGTCACAGGACGCTTGCGCCAACTAAAGGACCACGGATGGCTTGCACTCCACAACGCACAGCTCCATACACACGCCCCATATCCAGTGTAAACCCGAAGGAATAAGCCTGGGAGGTATTTGGATGGGAACCAAGTTCCATCAATGGAGCAGGCTCACACTATTCTAACATGCACAAAGGCAGCATTTCTGTCTATCTACTTTGGGAATCACTCGTACCAGACGTACACAAGGTGATGGCTAAGACGTAGTCTACTCCACACTGCATGCATGGAACCACTCTTTTAAACTAGCACCGTCACGAAGACGGTACATGCCGGCCCCCAAGCAAAGAGTAACAGTCTCCTAGAGTCAGTTATCTAGGTGAAGGGTGTTAACTAGATAGGCTTCTTGGCAATATCTACATCAAGCGCAGCCACACCGGGGATATCAATCAACAACCCATGAACTGCACAAATCACAGCACACGGACACACCCACATCTCGACTGCAGCGATGAATTGGCATTTGTGCCACATCGATCGCATTATTGGTCTGGGTAAGTAAAATGACTTGGAAGCAGCATACTTAACAAACTGTCCTGATGATGACCATCTATTCAGGCCACTGGTAGTCTCTTCGTTGTTGGATCTGAGTGGCATCGCTGGTGGAGTACTCAGCCTGCTTGGCTTAAGCACTCGCGACCGCATGTGTTACATCCCCATGCGCTCGACGTCCATGCGCCATCCTCCATGCGTGTCAGTCGCCGGCGTTTCTTTTCCGCATGCAGTAGGGATTTCTCATGCATCCAGGCCACTGACACCGATCAACTGCCTTTGATTCTCAACACGTGAAGTCAATATTAGTTCGTGATAAACCCAGCATGCTCACATCCTGGTAAGGTAACTTTAGTTTTCTACTAGCCACTTTCTGACACTAAGGTGTCCTTGTAAGAGCTACTTAGGTAGCCACATCAAATCCATACGGCTGATTTGCCCTAGCCAGCGCAGGTGTCGCAGCAGAAGTATGCAGTCCACTGCCTATATGGCAGTGTTGCGCAACAATTCCATGTCTGCAATTCTATCCCGTTAAACGAGGCGCAGAATTTGTAGCAGTCACTGCCGATGAAACCACTCCAGCTAACTGGCACCTTTCCAGTACACTGTTCAAATTTCGCTGCCTTATAGAAGAAAGGAAAGCACAACCGACTTGTATACCAGCAGTTTTGTTCCAAAAGTATGCTGATGATTGTTCCACACACGTTACTTCTGCTAACCAAATGCAACAGCTTTCTTTGATACGCGCATGCGTAGATCGCACACCAGCTGGAGATCGGTAGAGAGTATGCCCAAAATGTAGCGGAATCTCGAGGCGGTTTCCAAAATCTCAGCATCAACGTGGATTTATGACGGACCCACGGATTCCACTTCTGTAGAGGGCATAAGTAACCGAGCAGTTTTGCATGTGTCAATGATGAGTGCGAATTTGGACGCTGTCGGAGTGAGAACCGTTGTCACGCGCTACAACTAACCCTTGCTCTGTACTATGAACGCATAGTCAGCAGTAAACGGCAACATGCGAATGGTAGTCTCACACACTTGGGTTATCGCCCCTAAAAGGCAGATATTCATCAATTCACCCTCAATACCGTGCTGCACACGGAAGCCGTAATCAAACACTGCAGCAAAAGCACAAGACATCATAGTAATTAGTTACATATTAAACCGGTTAAGTGCCAAGACTCAGCGCTGCTTTAAACCAGAGAAAACAGCAAAGTCATCCGAGGTTTGCCCACTCATCTGCACTCTCGCCCACCAACGTGCAGACTTTCAACTGAGCCTACAAAATTCCTCACGCAACCAAACTTTCCTAACACCAGTCATGGTGCCCCGAGTTTTACCGTGCCAAATGCTTTGGTGAAGTCGACAGACATCGAGCAGCTTAGCAGATGTCGCTCTCTGCATTTCTGTTGCAACTAGCATGTTGTGATCACCATATATGATGCCGCGGTCCAAGAAAATTCGCACTACTCCTTCGCCAAGTGCACTTCGACGAACTGAGTGACGAGACGGTTGGACAGGATTCGTCCGATCAATTCATCCACACGACTCACTAAGTTGATACCGCGATAATGCGTGCAACATGGCTTCAAGTCAGCTGGCACTTCCTCCACAGACCATACGTGTTGAACCAAATGGAGCAGCGCATGTATCAACCGTGGTCTGCCGTGTTTCAATAATTCTGGTGGTATTTCCTCGGCTTTGTTGCACTTGCTGTTCCTTAGCTGAGTAAGTGCTCTCTGCATCGCAACAAATGTCAGTGTTTCGGCATGATACATCTTTACCTCTTGTTGTTGCAGCCCATGCAACATAGCCTAGTCATATCTGAAAGGTTGTTCAAAGGAGTCAAACTGCATTCTTCAGATCTATACTACACCTACAGTCTAGTTAAAAGTAGCACTTGTAGCGGCATCCACCAGCGTCCTCAGCGGTTGCAACGTGGTTACATTCACCGCTTTCACGGAGGCAAAAACATTTTTTTTGCTGGCGGCTTTTGGCGTACCATTCCATGGGTTTCGCTTTCTCCTTCCACCATACATTCTTGATGCGACGGAGCTCTCAAGTCAGACGCCATCAAAATTTGCGAAAATAGCTCGCCTTCACAAAGTCGTCATGGTCAGCCACATGTGTAGCGAATGCTGTGTACTTCTCTGACACTAATGAGCCTGGCTGCTTCAGTTAGCGCGCCTGATCATTTCCACTGCCGCAGCCGTCACCTGCTCACGGTTGTGGTGCTACATGTCCCTCATCGATGTGATAGATTCTACATGGTTAAGGCGCGTAGCCATTTGACTTCTTCAGTTTCATCCTTTTTTCCATACTACTTCCCGAGAGAAAATTAAATGTTCACCGCTGCACGCAAGTGGACAATGTATTGCTGTACTAGAATAGATCAAAAGTTTGGTCCACAGCAACTTGTGCTCATTGCCACACTCAGCAGCACGCAGTACACTTCACTCATGTTCTGCAGGCGGGTGGTAACTAACACCTAATCAACAGTTGTACAACCATGGCGTTGCTTTTGATTAAGAGCACCACTGCAACTAACGCCGACCGGAGCTGGTAATCTGTCTCTCTGGTCTAATGTACCTGAGTTCAAATGACCATAAATTATAATTAGCGCGTTTGATGGAGTCAATTATGTCAGCAGGGCATGGTTTATTTAGATTAGAGCCGTGAAAAGTATAGAGTACTTGACCAATACTCATTCGCATATTACACAACGTTGCCTCTAGTAGCTCGCTGCTACACGAAATCATATTTAACGTAGCATTTTGAAGTATGGACCGCTTTAGTTTCTTGTGACAAGCAAGCTATGTTGATGTCTCACCTTAACTTGAAGAAGTATTCGGTCATTCGGATCGCTGGGACCGAATTTGAACTGCACGGTGTTATGTGTTACTTTCTTCCGAGACAGCAATCCACTGTAGGCTTGTGCTTGTTAATAATGATCATGTTATGACGGCCGATACAGGGAATGGAAGTATGGATGTAACTGCTAAAGATCGACGCTTTTATTAGTGGGCAGTGGGGCACAATAAATTCATTCCTTTTCCTTTTATCTTCTTACCGCGGAGATAATTCTTTTGTAAACATTTTGATGATAAGAAGAGATCGTCGCAACGAACAAAGGCATTCGTACTCATTTTGTCGGCGTAGTTTTGATGAATAAACTTGGGATGAACACTTGGTTTATTAGACTTCTGAAGCCTATTTGTTGTGAATCCGTAAAATTTTGAGTGCCTCGGCTATATCCGTGCTGCTTACTTCTTGCTTGCACTCGTCTGTATTTGTCGAAGGTTGTATGAAGCTACTTTCATTAGCGCTTGTTTGAAGAGCGAGTATGCATAGTCATCTTTTAACCTTTTCTCTTACTACCGTACGAGGTACAAAATTGTCCATGTAGCACGACAATTGCTTCTCGCTTCTGTTTTAAATTCACCGCAGTACGATCGGCATAAGATTAATTGGATTGTCAAACAACAGCAGTCATGTTATCAATAGAAATTTGGCTTACATGGTTGATAACTTGCAAGGACTCCGTATAAAAATGCATTGTAATTGTTAGCTCAACGAAGCTGATAAAAAAGTGTTTGCTCCTCTAGTTGGTGTCTTGGTGACCGTGCATTCCCAGGCCTTATTTACTTTGCTGCTGTTATTCATCTTCTTCCTAAGCAAGTTACCAAGACCGGAATCTGTCTAGACGATCCTCGGCTGAAGGCTCTTATAGACAACTTGAAGAGGATAGGTGGGATCAGAGGCAGCCAGCGGTTAGCCGTAAACACTCACTCCCTCACTCTTGATAGGGAAACATTCAAGAGGTAAGTGCACCGGTTTTCTCCTTCCCAACTTGTGCGTTCCGGTATTTGTGGATAAAAATCTTTTCCAGATTCAGGTTCGTTCATGCCGGTTGTTTATATTTTTGTGCCACAGCCGCTATAATATATGGTTATGTGTGAATCCCTTGCGAAATGCTTGATTAATTCTTCGGCTTATTGCGTCATCCCCATCATTCTGTGGTTTACATGGTTGACACATTAAACCAGCTGAGGTTTTGTTAACGCCTCCATGGCTGACGTTATTGTTTCAGTATATAGATTTGTTGTTCAAAGCAAGCTGTCTACGACTGTCTGTCATTCCTTATTGAGCATCCTGTACCAAAATGACGCGAAAAGCACTTGTGATGGATTGAGACGGGAGATTTTGACTAACTTCAACTAAATTACTAGACGTTCGTCCGTTAAATTTCTATCTTTAATTCTGTATAGGAAACTGTCTCTGACGTTGAGCAATGCAACCATAGGTTCCTATTGTTATTAAGTGTTGTCCAACTCAGTGTTGGACTTCTGACTACACAACAAACCCTACAACCTGAAGCGCGCTTGCTGCCAATGTGCTTAGCTGGATCGGTGTAGGATTCGCATCTGATGAGCAAGAGCCCGTGACGGTTTTGTTGTTTGACACTGACTTCAAGTGATATGCGTCCACACCATTCCAGACTAACGATCTTACTCAGACTTATGATATTCCATCCCGTCACGTGGCGAACATAGAAATTTCTGCTAAAAGCGTGGGGAGTAGAACGATTAAATACATTAACCTACTAGTCGTAGGTTACAAAATTCTGCGAGCTTGCTCTTTAATAAGTAGGCTAGATTGCTATATTTTTAATACGTTGGCTCTAAAATCCACTGAGCCCTGTTTGGGTGTGCAGACAATGGTTTAGAAATGACGGATTTTATAGGATATTTCAAACACGTCATGATATGGGCTGTACATACCAAAAAGTCTGATTATTCCGCTTTATTTTGGCGTCCGTAGTGAATTCCTCCTTTTTAGATATGTGCAATTGCGGTTGCTATAATTGCGTTTGCAGTTGATTATAGTGTATATGTGTCACGTTTATCCCATCTCACTTCAAATTTCTCCGTTCACCATCCTTCACTTACCCATGAAAAGCCTGAGGTTAGCATTAGAAACTGGAACTTTTACTTCAAGTTTATTTGCATTTATGCTAACATCTTTTGTCTCTTTTATTAACCAGTAGCTTGGAAACAATTCGCATTCAAAAGCAAAAATCGGGTAAACCCTCGTAACGCAAGGAAACAAGGGATTAAATGTGAACTCACATAAAATGCACTTGGAAACAGAGTCACCGACATTAATTCAATTCTACTATGGCACCCATCTAATATATTCGTTAATGCAAGTAGGCCTTTAGCCCTGGACACGTTAAAGCTAGGGTAACTCATTCTACAGTTAATGTCCTGAAAATGAACAGCGTTGATGGAATTTGGAGTCAGAAGTTTTTCCGTTTGCTACGAGAAAATTGATGCGGGGTTGCTGGTTTTAGCAAGACTATGTGAACCAAGATAGGACAGCCAATTCACAACTTGTCAAAACTGTTGCGGCATTGGACTAAGCAAGTCAAAGCAGAGTCAAAGCTAACACTATTTTCCTTGTACCTTCCACTTGGATCCGCCCCCCACACGCAGAATTTGAAGGTGAAAGCAAACGGTTGCGATGGAATTATTGCCGTGGGAGCAGATAGAGTTCTTCCAACGGTCCTGAAATTCAAGGAGCCAGCTCATGTAAATGACCTGAAGTTGTTGGAGCGGCAGACTGTACCAACAGACTGCAGCCACTCCGTTATAATCACAGGTTTGAAAGGAGGCTGTCTTTCTGGTCGCGCAAACAAAGATATACTAGTCCAGTCTCTATTACTCCGATGTTACTTGTCTCTTTTCTTTCCAGTAGGACACATGAAAGCCAGATTTGTGAGTAGTAAATCAGGTTTCGTCGAAAGTGAGGCTGCGTCCACACAACGTTACTTAAGGTCAGTTGTTCAAACACCGCCACATTTATCAGCGATCCACCGCAGTCGCATTTCTTGTGTCTTTGATTCCGTGAATCGGTACGCCCTTACGGACTGCCTACTCAATAATTACGTAAAAATTATGAAGCGCTTTATCCACTTTTCCCGGGCTGAGTCAGGGCTTAAGACAAACTAACTCCGCTGTTTAATCTCTCCAACGCCGTAAGACAAGGTTGCCCCTGTTACCGTTCCGTTTTAAGTTCGCCATCGATGAAATCATAGAAATGGCCTTCACTGGACACGAAAGTGTGAAGCTGTCTTCTGGGGAGAGACTTCTTGACTCGGAGTGTGCCGACGACATTACTGTCATTTCTGACAGATCCCAAACACGCCAATCAGCAATAGGAAAATAAGTTCTGGTTGTCAATAGTTTAGAATTATGTTTTACACCTTAAATAATGAAAGCTACTTGTCCGAGATTAGCCAAGACCAAACATTTCGCTGACTCTTAAAGATGATCAGCTAGAGGACTTTCAGAAATGTAGATGCCTAAACAGCTAATTCAGGACAAGTGGAATGGAATATTGCATCACGAACCATGTAGACAAATCTCGAAGCACCTTGTTACCCTTAGTCACCTGTGGTACTGGCACGGCATCATTCTCGCTCTGAGAGCTGCGGTGAGCTGTTTATAGTGCAAATAAGTGTCCTTTCGACCATCCTTTACAGATATGAAATCAAGCCCATTGGATAAACCGATTTTAAGTGGTTACTGACGCTCAAATACCGGTGTCCTTTCAGTTTGGCTGATGTCTGGTCAGGACATAGCTTGATAAATATGATCATTTTGCTTATGGGATTTGGTGCCGGAAGAGCGACTGCATACCTCAGCACCGTTATTTCACCCTCCACTTTCCGACCTAACGGAAATCACATTGACCACCTTGACATGCGCTGTTTGCTCGGCCAGGATTTAGATAGAGGGTGACTTGGTCAAAGGGAATGAAGGCTTTGACTTCGAAGCTGGCCTCCGTGGTTGCCTCTCGACTTTTTAATTGGGTTCCAATGATGATGAATATGTTTGCTTGCAAGCGAATTTTGGTATAACCAGTTGTTGATTTTAGTTGCTTTCGATGGAAGTAGCCCACTGCCTATTAGCTGCCACAAATTTGTGCGTTTTTCAGGTTGAGCGAATCTTTGACTACCGTTAAGCGTCCCGTAGGAAAGGTAGACCATGATGAAGTAAGCCACACTAGTCAGCTCGCAAGGTGCAAATTCAGCGTCTTGAAAACAGTAGGAAATATATCCGCGGGCGTCAGAACCTGAAGTTATTTTTTGATTACTGTCAGATACTTAAATGTATCGAAGGGCACAACATTCTACACAGTGAAACGTAGGATCCCCATATGCAATCACCAAGTGAGCTTTGACGGAATCCTCTATAGATACTGTCCAGAACATTCAGCAGACCAGTTAGCGCATCTATGTTTGTAGAGATCTTCTTTTTCTATCATAGTTTTAGGAAGTTCTTCAATACCAATCCATTTCCAAAAGCAGCGAAATGTAGGACGGTGAGTTGAATCATATGGGGCAGTTAATATATGCACTGGGAAGTTTTTCCATCTACATTGTGGTCATTATGGGGGGTAGCTTACAATAATGAGCTCAGTGGTTGCCAATTTGTGCCATAAAAACGAAGTACTAGACCGCGGGTTTATTCGAAGCTTATGTTATTAAGTGCATTTCCGTAGTGGATAGACGGGGTCTGTCAAGTTTGTCGTCAAGAAATGAAATAAGTGATCCGGGGACCGAACCCATAACCGCTAGATGCTAAAGGCAACTAGCCAGCGTCTTATGCCACTGAGCCATGGGGGACGACAGCCGACCATTACGAATGGTAACCTAACTGCGATATAACCCGACAACTTCACCACTGACGTGCAGGTTAATGCCCATGCAGAGGACAGTGGTTGGCCGTCACGGTCAGGTCTTTCCCTTGCTGGCGCCGTGAATCTACACAGCAATTTTGAATACTGGTAGGGCTGTCGATGCTCATGGCTCAGTGGCATAAACTGCTCGCTAGTTTGGCGTTAGCCTCTAGCGTTCCTGGGTTTGATCCACAGTAGGGGACCGAGAAATGCACACCACTGACGATCCCCAATGGGGCGAAACGCACGTCTGGTGTGTTTCCGGATTGGTAGCTTACCTATGCGGTTTGGTATCTAATTGGGGTGAATTAAATCTAATGATGGCCATAATTCGTTGGGCCGTTGTTTTGTACAAGGGAGTAACAATCAATGTCCCGGTGAAATATATCTCTGGCCTTTTGTGAATAGATCCGATTTCACCCATAGAAATGGCCAACTTCTGTGGTTGAGACGGGCACCTCCGCCCACCACAGTAGCAGCATTGTCGCCCTTGCCATGTTGCCACTAAAATTGTACCAAATACAGCTCCAGTTTTCCTTGGAAGTCAAAGGAAGTCAAAACCGTAAACCTTCGTCAAGATGAAACAGAAACGGAAGTCACCATGTCACTTCCCCCAGAATTCTTACAGGTTGTTGTGTACACACAAATCCAGTTTCCGACCACTCAGTTATCCGTGTTCCGCCAAGTATACTTTTATTATGAACTAGATATAGACAACTGTCCCCTAAAAGTGGCTTTCTCGCATTTTTCGTTTTGTACTTCCCATACATTTTCGTTCCCCAGTTACTCTTATCGACCTAACAATACAGTGGCGTCATAGAGTTGGGGAAAATTACCACATACCTTTTTTCAGTTGCCTCAGCATTAAATCCAAAAGTACGTAACCTTTGCATTCCGCTAGAATTTATGTTCTTTCCTTTTTTCTGTTCCACTTATAACCCACTGGGCTACAGCGTGGTACAAGAAAATCTGCAAATGCTGATGCGAGCAATGACCGACGACTTTTGCATTCCGGACTTCAGAACGTTTGCAGCTGTCGTTGAGGAGCTGTTCCATCATTGCCAACAGAACGACGGTGGGAAACTTGCTAGCTACATTCCCCAGTTAGAACAAGTAGATCCAAACTTATGGGCAGTATCGCTATGCACCGTGGACGGACAACGGTGAGCAACGACATTTCCCTACGGCACATTTTAGTAACCTTTACCCTGGTACTGAAGTCTAATAACGCCGGTAGTGTGGAAGAATTGAGCCGATCCACCTAAGTCTGTGTGTAAAATATGCTTTCGGAAGGACTTAAAACACTGTTTTTTCTTGGTAGCCACTTCGATTTTTGCTTATTAAATTAGTAACGTTACCTTATCAATCCAATTGGCCTCATCAGTTGTTTCAGCTAGTGTGGACGGAGAGTGACATAACAATTTCTTGGACCAAGTAAACATTCCTGAAACACGCAAAGTTACGGAGTTCTCGGAAGCATGATTCTGCGCAAGGACTTGTGTATATCAATATCAGGCGAAGTAAAAACCATGGTATGCAACGTAGGTAGTCCCTCGCGGGATACTAAATAATACGTCCTCAATAAACTCGTTCCCCGAATTATTGCCCAATGAAAACACTACTAACCCCTTCGCGGCGCAACGATGACTCCACGGCCAAGAGGACTTGCTTACTTTTACCACAGTGTTCAGTCTGCTAAATAAGTGGGTGGCTAATAATTACTAATGCTTTAAATGACTATAATTAGCGATACTCACAAAGAGTATTCTATACCCTTACCCACTGCCACTCCGTTTGGGGATAAGACGCGTGCAGCCCAGTTGTCATGCTTGGTGAGAAAATGCACACAGCAAAGCAGTTTTGTTTTCGACATTCATTTGTTCATATAGTGGCCTAGGTACAGGAGTTTCATTTTTCAGTATGGTTCATCCAGTTTACAGTAATGCTATGTGGAGAACACTGAGAGCTCTGAGGAGTGCAGCGGGACCTCTAGTGAAAGGCGAACCCAAGGTCAATCGTAGCTCAGTCAGGTGGACGAGCAAAGTCATTGCAGGGATAACCGGCTTGCTTGGTACCAATTTCTCTGACAGAGTGGACAAGAAGTTACTACACGATGGAAGACAAAGCGTATCGAAAAAATAGTTTGTGGTCGGGTGACGAATTTTCAGACATTCCCACTTACGGTGAGGTGTGGAACGTTGACTGTAATGTCAGCAGAACAAAAGGAAACGGTCGCGACCGTAGGAGGTGCAAAATCACAGAACTGAAACTGCATATTGGTGTATTATATAGCCTTAATCCAAAACCTGTTAGAAGGCAAAATCTATCTGGCATACTGCCACACACTCCAGGGAAAATAAACATCGTCGGTGACAAACAACAATGATGATAGTCCTGTTGAAAGGTATTTCCAGTGTCATGAAGTGCAGCAAAATATAATGAGTTATGCACAAATAGTCTTATTACCAGCACAGTGTCATACTGGCTAGGTCAAAGCGCTTCACCCCTACAGTCAGTGCGACTTACGGTGTTGCAAACAGGTAGTCTTGCTTTTCACACAAGACAAGATAAAAAGTCACACGCGATAGGTATCCGCTCACAGTGAACGGCTGAACAATCAGTCATTACGTAATAAAAAAATCGATGACGGCGATGTTTTCAGACGTCCTAGAATGCACTGGGGAATTAGTAAAATTTAAACAAACCGAGGAGCAAACCCACTAGGCTGAGGTAACCTACGAACTTAGAGAAAACATCCTCCCAATTAGTCTCACACGCCTATATTGAAACCCATCTTCTCTGCCCGTTGGGGAAACTCGGTTACTGTGAGTAACAGTTATCAACACACAAGACCCGGAAGTTGTTCACTTAACACACCACATTTTAGTGAACTATTCTGTCAGTGCCGTATTTTTCCGGATAAACCATGAGTAGATATGGAGAAGCGAAAATCCGACCCTGGCACAGCCTCTGAAAATTAGAGTAATTAAGTGGTGCTGATCCATTGTGTGTCAACAATCATCATCAACAATGAAACATGACAATAACCGTGAATGACAAAAGCATAATCTTGTAGAATGGAGATAAATCCCAGAGATCTATTGCATGCAGAACGTCGTGACTAGAGTTTATCCTTTTAACGGTTATCGCAAATTATCACGGTATTGGGTCCAAAACTTTGCAGTTGCATTGACTACGCCCGATCCAAGCGTCACATAATAACAGGAAAGTCGGGCCACTCGAAGTACGCTTAAGACATTTACACCAAGCAATGCAGATCACAGATAAGCCAGACGCGGCCGGTCCTACCTAGGATCGGGGGAACGTGCAAAGGGTCGCGTCAAAGAACCAGCGAACTGACGCTAGTTGGGCCATTCCAACACGGCAAACCGAACACCAAGTGCGTCGACAAATGCAGTGCTGCTACAGCAACGCCCATGGGCTCCACTCTAAGTTGCCAGAACTGCGTCATCAACAGAAAGCAATAACTTGGAACAGTATAGCGGTGACTAAAACTTGGCTCTCAAATGACACCAGATCAGGAGAGTAAACGCAGTTAAGTTTCAGTCATTCGGGACACTCGTCCATCTCACAGTGACTGCATTGTTGTCTAATACAGAGAGTAACTAAAATGTGAGGACCTTACCGAGCATTCCCTCGTTATTGCCGACGCCATTTTGAGACTGCAGCTAGCAGGTCGAGCTGGTGGAGCACTAGGGAATACGAGTAACGTTTGCCTCTTAGCATTTGTCTACAGGTCACCAAACTCCTCTGCACACAGCGATGACGTTTCCCAATATGTTGTTTCAAAAAAGTACACATTATCTAATAATGGGTAAATTCAATGTACCTTCAATAATAGCAGCCTCCTCCAGTGCGCCATCATTGAAATCAAAACTTTTTGACTTCCAGTATATGGTAGGTTTGTATAAGCATGTGCACTGACCAAGGAAGAACGGCGGTTCAAACAAGCCATCAATTCTGAACTTACTCAAAGAATTGGCGGTTGATTCAGTTCATACGGCCCTCCACTAAATGGCAGCAACCACACAATCTTGACATTTGGATTTGAATGTCATACCAGCGTTGCTGATAAAGAAGGGGAAGTCGACGAACTCTTACTCACCATTCCAGGCTTCAAATGTTAGCGACAACCGTTACCTGGGACCTCCAACTCCACAGTTTGGCGAACGGATCGGAAGCTCAAAGCCTAAATGGATCAGTAGAAAGGATGAGATTTGGAGACGATATATGCTAAGCCCATGGGATTCCACATGACAGAATTACAAAACAATCAGCAACTACTGCATTTCACGCCTTAGAGCCGGCAAGTACGAATGGTACTCAAGTTTATGAGTAACACAGAAATGTCATACTAATATGTGAATGGTAAAATAAGGGTTAAGCCTGGAATACCACCACAGAAATCGGGCAATGACCACTCAACTTCTGCTGCGGATACCGCGATGGCACTACTCCTAAGTTTTGTCTCAGTGGCAACAAATATCTTGGAACCTTCGGTCTATCAAATGCTCACTAACGTCGTTGGCTTATTTACAGTCACCTTCACTCCAGCAGCCGTCTCAAGCCAATAGCATTATCCCTGAGGAAACATTGCCTTCTCTATGGATTCGACAAGATCTACTTAAAGATATTCAAAACCGTCGTCTATACTAAAACGGTACAGCTTGCAACCATTTTCCAGTGTCTTCTTGATTCCTGTACACGCGCATTGGAGTGGAGAAAGGGAATAAGTATCCCGATGTACGAAAAAAGTACGCAATCGGATCCCGCCCTATGCCGACCTATTACTCTCTTTCCTGTTTTGTCGAAAGTCAATAATCGCGGATGAACTGACTCACTATTTTGATAGTCTGCAATTCATTTCTAATCTCCAAACTGGTTGCAGACGTAGGCGATTGCCTCACCAGTCTTCTTGTTATTGATTCATGGACCAGGACGGCTGACGAACAAGTTCTCTTGCTGTGGTTTATTTATACTCTTCTATGGCCTACTACTGATTTAAAACAGTTCACCACCGAAAGCCTGGTGCCTACGCTGTCAACGGTTCCATACTCACCCGGTTGGAAGGTAACCTACACGACGGAATAATCAAGGTAAGAATTATTGAGACACAAGCTGACGTCTTGTGCGTCTTCAGTGGTGTAACGCAAGTATTTTCCTTTACTGGTTACTGTTTTTATTCCATATAATGGACTTTGCAGCAATCGTTCAATCTCCTTTGCTGATATCATCAAAATAGGTTAAGATCAAGATGGCTAGTCGCTCAATATCCAACAGTACTTATCTTTAGAACCATCTGGACCAAATTAACAAACGGACGGAAATGAAGCAACTCCCACTGAAACCTGTTATGGGCCACCTGCTCACGCAGCGCAACAGCTTCAACAATAGCAGCTAAAGCATGTCCTACTGAAAGTTGGGTATCATCGTACAAGAAAGTCCGATCAATCTGTTCTATCGTTTGAGGACAGTATATTTGTCGAAGTTGAATTTGAGTCATTTGAGACGTGCTCTACACGCCTTAGAGCAATGGATAGTACCCATGATGATTAATACGTTTATTTGTCCTTACGCTGAGTATGCGGTTAAGGCCCAATGACCATGGTTTGAACGGGGCATTCGTCTCTTGGAGCAGCCTCAAAGAAGGGTCACCAAGGCAACACGTTGGGCTGTCCGGTCTCACCTATGAAATGTGGCATCGCTTGATGCATATGTTCTCGTCAGAATACCGATTGCTACGCGGCGATCTCCTTCTTGCGTATCGGATATAAACAGGAAAAATCATCCATGCAAATCACTGCTAACCCTAGCGTCTAGTCACCGATGCCGAAGCCACAATCTGGAAATGGTAACTTAGCACGATGACTGTTTCACCGGTGCAAATCACCGATGAATGGGGCCTTTTAGAACTTATGAGTTCTCGGTGAGCGGCATTTGACATAGGATTTCTGATGTCATTCGTGTGCTTGCGAACTGGCAGATTTTATATTTCGCCGTAGATAATATCCTATTGACATCATCTCCTTTTTTAGCCAATGTGGTTTTTCGTGTATGCTATGCACTCCGCCGGTGGCCGAGTGGTCTGCGCACCTGGTTTGCAGCCATAAGGTCCCCGGTTCGAATCCGCATAGGGGTAAGC